CAAGTTTCATTGAAATCCAATGAGTGGTTCTTCAAAAATCAGTGGAACAGCTTAAAATCAGTTAATTATCATGCAAATTAGGTAATTAATATTCATAGATTTTTACCAAAAACTAATCAAATCTGCGCACTAGTTCAGAGCATCCATGTGCCAAATTTCATCAAAATCCAATTAATGGTTCTTCAGATATCAGTGGAACAATCTTGAAACAGCTAAAAATCAGCTAAATATCATGCAAATTAGGTAATTAATATTCATAAATTTTTACCAAACATAATCAACTCATTATCCCAGAATATCTATTTACCAAGTTTCACCAAAATTTGATTAGTGGTTCTTGAGATAACGGTGGAACAAAAAAAGTGACATACATACATGTACATACATACATACATACAGACAGACATACAGACAGGGTAACTGCAAAGACTCCCTTTTGTGCTTGAATAAAATAACTTGAAAATAACTTGAATTTGCGTAGTTATCATGAAAGCACTACATTACAAAGTTGAAATATTCAGAGCTGGTACAATATTGTAAACAAATTTGTGTAATTAAAAAAGCAGTGCACTAAGTAAATAACGTTGATATATTCAAAGCCAGTACAAGTTGCGTTAATCACAGTAACTTGAATTTGCGTAGTCATCATGAAAGCACTACATTACAAAGTTGAAATATTCAGAGCTGGTACAATATTGTAAACAAATTTGCGTAATTAGAGAAGTAGTGCACTAAGTAAATAACGTTGATATATTCAAAGCCAGTACAAGTTGCGTTAATCACAGTAACTTGAATTTGCGTAGTCATCATGAAAGCACTACATTACAAAGTTGAAATATTCAGAGCTGGTACAATATTGTAAACAAATTTGCGTAATTAGAGAAGTAGTGCACTAAGTAAATAACGTTGATATATTCAAAGCCAGTACAAGTTGCGTTAATCACAGTAACTTGAATTTGCGTAGTCATCATGAAAGCACTACATTACAAAGTTGAAATATTCAGAGCTGGTACAATATTGTAAACAAATTTGCGTAATTAGAGAAGTAGTGCACTAAGTAAACGATGTTGATATATTCAAAGCCAGTACATAGTTGTATACAAGTTGCAGTCATTTTTACAGGTTTATCCTAGGAGTGAGTAAAATGACGCCAATTAGTGGTTTGAAAGCAGAACTTAGTAGGTTACCAGTAAAATTAAAAATTAATTTGGCTCAAATTAAATACTGCCATAGACTATATAGTCTGCCAGATAATCACATTTTAAAATTAGCCCTGGATGAAATGATAAAAATTAATTCAAACTGGGTAAGGACTATTAATGCTACACTGGGACATGATCTAATTAAAATAAAAAATGATCACAATATGGAAAATTGGAATCAAATACTAAAAAAAGTAAAACTCAGACTATCTGAGATTTATATTCAAAGATGGAGAGAAGAACTAAATTTCAGCGAAACCAATGAAAATAGGGGAACAAAACTGAGAACATACAAACTATTCAAAGTAAGCTATAATATAGAAAATTATTTGCAAAACATTTCAAATTTCAGCCTCAGGAAAATGCTTTCAAAATTCCGTCTGAGTGACCACAACTTAGAAATAGAATTAGGTAGAAGAACAAAGCCCAAAATAGAATTAGAAAATAGACACTGTAATAAATGTAACACTAAAGCATTAGGAGATGAAAAACATTTCCTGCTACTTTGTACTGGCTATATAGAACAAAGAAAAAAACTGTTTGATGAGTGTGCAATAAATATTTACACAATGGATGTGAATTCCATATTTAAAAAGATTATGGAGAATAATATAGCTTTAGCAAAATACTTAAAGAGCACAATTTTTTAAAACCACAGAAAGTAATTAATTTTTTTTTTTTTTTTTCTTTTATTTTACTAACATTTTATTTTTATCTCTTATGTATTGTATGTTTTTATGTTCCTTACCATACAAAAACCCTCTGAAGGTTTTTAGTAGTGTAATAAAGTTATTATTATTGTTAATGACAGTACCGTCGGATATAATTTTACTTGATCAACGCACAGAGCTTGAAAGAAAAAGGTTGTTAAGATAACGCGCCAGTTCAGTGTGTGACTTGGGGTCAAACTTTGGTCAACACCTACTTGATGTCAGCATCGCCGCGCAGCAAGTTTCGCAAAGAAGTACTGAAGTTCAATTGCACCCCAAAATGATGTCAACTCAGTTGTCGCATCGAGTGTTGTGTCGTGTCCATGATGCACCCTGTTTCGACTTTGGCTTGCTTTTCCTTCTCAGTGCATGTTCTTGTTCACGTAAAATGCAACCTCTCACCAATGTATTAAAACACTTTGAATTTATACTTTGCATGATTATATTTGGTCAACGTGAAACATTATTTTTTCTAAACATTTTCTGAGACCATTTTTACCAGCGCAGGGTTATTTTTTTCAGACAAGATGGGCTTTGTAATATCTGCCAGAACATCTTTTGGTCCACATTTTTCTTAAAAAAAATCGAATCCTCCATAAGATCGCCCAGGGCGGATTATCAGCCGAATCCGGTACATGTTATTATGTAATTCATTATGAAAACTGACTAAATTAAATGTGATCTTATTTTTAATTGTTTGAACAGAATTATGATTTATATCGGTAATGACATTTTCATCCAATATTAATTGTGCAATTGCTAAAATGCCTACCTACACATTTATTGATTTTGTTTCTGTTGCCCTGAAATAGACATTTGTAAAAAAAAATCCTGTCATTTGTTTCCAACTTCTTTCAAAGTAAAACTGGCGAAGCCATGCAAGTGCCATACAACCATCAACTGTGGAAAACTTGTATGTTATTGAAAATCTTTATTTTGTTGTCTGTGAATTAATATAGCATTTGAAATGGCTTAATGGTGAAAAATATTCTCAAGCAATTGGTTTTCTAGTGGCACTACACTGCGCATTTATGCACAGTCAGTATCCCAATACGTGATCACTAACATATGATCTCAGCTTACTAAGTGGTTGAAATGGCAAACTGAATACAAAAATTTAGTCCAGTAACATCTCAAACAAATTTCCGTCTGCTGTGAATACATGTTTCGTTGCATCAAATGAAAAACCCAATTTTATGATAGAAGCTTGCAATCTTGTGCCATACACGGTCAAGCGATTGACCAATAAAAAAATGTGGTTTTATGTATCAGGTCATTGAATGTATCCCAAAACACGGTACCAATGATCTGAACTTTCATGAGTGCTCGCTGAAGGCTTATCAATCTTGTGTATTGTCTTGTGTTAATAGATACAGTTCATGTTGTAGAACATGAATCAAACTCTTACACTGTTCGAAAATTAAATTTATTTCTTTTTTATTTCTTTTTTCTATCTAGAATTTTAGTATTCGCAAATTAAATATTACATATATCTATTCTGCACCACATGTTTTTTTTAAGCCATCTTTGCTTATACTTATTTTTAACTATGATTTTTTTTTTTTTTTACAGACAGCAGGGTTATTTTATATACCTTTTTATATTGATCTATTTGTCCTTTAGTGGCTCATCTGCAATACTGACCTCTAGCGGCTCAACATTAATATTGCCCTGTAGTGGCTCAACATCAATATTGCCCTGTAGTGGCTCAACATCAACATTGCCCTGTAGTGGCTCAACATCAACATTGCCCTGTAGTGGCTCAACATCAACATTGCCCTTTAGTGGTTCAACATCAATATTGCCCTTTAGTGGCTCAACATTAATATTGCCCTTTAGTGGCTCAACATTAATATTGCCCTGTAGTGGTTCAACATCAATATTGCCCTTTAGTGGCTCAACATCAATATTGCCCTGTAGTGGCTCAACATCAATACTGACCTCTAGCGGCTCAACATTAATATTGCCCTGTAGTGGCTCAACATCAATATTGCCCTGTAGTGGCTCAACATCAACATTGCCCTGTAGTGGCTCAACATCAACATTGCCCTGTAGTGGCTCAACATCAACATTGCCCTTTAGTGGTTCAACATCAATATTGCCCTTTAGTGGCTCAACATTAATATTGCCCTTTAGTGGCTCAACATTAATATTGCCCTGTAGTGGTTCAACATCAATATTGCCCTTTAGTGGCTCAACATCAATATTGCCCTGTAGTGGCTCAACATCAATATTGCACTGTAGTGGCTTAACTTCACTATTGCCCTGTAGTGGCTCAACATCAATATTGCCCTGTAGTGGCTCAACATCAATATTGCCCTGTAGTAGCTTAACTTCACTATTGCCCTGTAGTGGCTCAACATCAATATTGCCCTGTAGTGGCTTAACTTCACTATTGCCTTGTAGTGGTTTGTCAATACTGCCATATAGTGGCTCATCTTCAATACTGCCCCCTGGTGGCTCATCTACAATACTGCCGCTTTGAGGCATATTATTCAAGCACAGTAATATCAATCTTATAAAACATTGTAATTTGAATTTAGTAATATCACTGATAAATATCACTGTACTAAGAAGACAATTATTGTTACTGTGTTCTTGAATTATTACTTTCCCTGAAAATATGGCTTTACTGTATTTACAGTTTATTAATAAATGTTGCTGTATGTACAGTATACTTTAAACAATAAACCATACTATACTTTTAAGAAATATTATTTGTACAATTCGAGAATAATTCTATTGCTTGGTGGTGATATAAAAACAAATCCAGGTTCTCTTAATACACAAAGAATGTAATTAACATGTCAAGTCAAAGAAGTTATTAAAGGTACTGAACATCAGGGGTCACTCAGATTTATGAATGATATCTCTGGAGCAAGTACGTGTATAACAAATAGTCTTGTTGCACTTGTGTACTCAGAGATTCTGGACATGAATCAATGGAATTCTTCAATTATCAGTAAAATATTAGATTACGGAAAATTACTTTATGATGAGGTGTATCTACATAGACAGAATACTGATTCATCATCCTACTTGCAGATTTCAGATTTAAAAATTTGTTTCTCAGTTGAATTGTATCAATTTTGGTGTTCTCTTTTACTGATAATTTTTTTATCTCGTGGTTATACTAGCATGCACTGTCATGGTTTATTTGTACAAGGCAAATCACTGCATCAATCACAAGCAATAGAGTTCGGCAACAAGATATCACATGCAATGCAAAGCAGTTCAGCTAACTGATACAGAATAACCTCATTATTGGAAGTATATATGGACGGTTAAAATGGAATGGTCTAAGAAACGAAAACAATTTAAATACACACTGAATATATACCACCAAACAAAGTGTAATGCTGTAACCATCACATCTGCACACAACCTGAAGCAAGTGTAATATTTTAACGGGGACTCTGTCATACATGACTTGTCATTAATAACATGTGGTGTAATAGGTTATGTTTATGTATTATGTAATGATCAAGTGTAACGTAAACAGAATAACATAAATAGTAATCTAATAAACAGAAAATACATTTTGTAACTGCTTATAGACTTGGCCGTTGTACACTGGTAACATTTGCTACGTTCACATGACAGCATTTTATCAGAGCCCTACGGTTCGAGTCAGCAAAAATGGCCGTGTATACGCGTTCGGCTTGAGCCAAGTTTGGTTCCAATAAACCCTTGGGGTTGAACTACGATACGGTTGAGCCCCGACATGGTCCGACTGTGTATACGCAGGGCCCAACTATCGAAGCCCAAATCATGCCTCAATCGTCTTCTTTAACTTGAAGTAACCTCTCATTTCAATTATGGTGGAGACAACATCGTTCGTAACTTCACGCAATTTCCAATTTGACGAAAAGGTACGCGCCCTAATATCTATTTTGCAAAGTAAGAAAATACTGCGATAGATTGATAGGTCAACGGGAAACAGAAACATGGTATGCATAATTATGCAACAAAAACTTGAAAGAAGGACTGAACTGATCCAATGAAAATTTTTAAAGACACCAGAAATAAAAATCGTAGAAGCGGTCACGGTAAGGAGACATGTTCCTAGTAGGTTTAGATTGACAACTGTAACGCATATCACAGCAGTTGAACAATGACAATAACTTTTAGCGAATAGGCTGAAACACATTTTAGTTGCCGTGTTTCCTGTTTATTCGAGATACTACATGTTGTATTAACTAAATCATAACACCAGTTCATTGTCTTTTCTACCTCAAAGCTCGATCGTGAGTGATTTTCAACAAAATCGTGCCATGTAAAGAAACAACACAAGCTCAACACCAATATCGTTTTCAGCCATATTTTTATTTCACACTAATTATTCGAGGGCACTGTTCTATTAGGGTCTGACCGAACTGAATCGAACTATGGCTGATCTCGGCTCTCCTTCAGTCCCGACCGTATGAACGCATTGGGGATAATCTCCTGTTAATCGGTGGGAGGAGCAGTAGTTTGGCTGATAGAATGCTGCCATGAGAACATAGCCAATACTGCTGTAAACATAATTCCATCCTATGACAATTCCTAAGCCATTTAGTATGCAGTATTTAACATGGCCCATTTCCCATTATGTCTTACAAAATATTCATAACAAGTCATTGTCGCAGTCATAGTAGATTGAAAACAAAAATAAATCATAAATACACTTTGAATTAAATTTTAGTCTTTTACAGATAAAAATGTTGAATCAAATGGCAAAAAAATAACATGCATCAGTGTCCCACTGCAAGTAAGTGATGTAGATACAAAGGTTGAATGGATGGATGAAAATGGCTTCCACTGCCACCGCCACCGCCACTGAAGGGCATCAGCAACCAGCCATGTGTGATGTTCATACATGGAACTAAGTTTGGTTGAAACCTGCCATTGCATTTCTGAGAAATTGGACAATGTATAATTCCTTATTTCTTGCTATGGACAAATAGAGGCTAATAATTAGAATATGTTGATGTTCCTATATTCCTCATTTCCCATGAGATCACAAGACTAAATATGGTCATTAAATACAGTTGTGTTGAGGGAATGGATCTAGTGTGCAATGTCTTCAATGAAGCACTATTTGAGTGACTACATGCATCGCAATAGTGTTTCAGATATGATATTTATGTACTTTAGTGAGGTCACATGACTATAAATGGTCATTAAATATTTTGATCAAATTTAGTGAGCAATGTCTTTAACGTAACACTATCTGCACTTGTGCTCCTGATATGACTGCACTTGTGCTCCTGATATGACTCTACACTTGTGCTCCTGATATGACTCTACACTTGTGCTCCTGTTATGACTCTACACTTGTGCTCCTGATATGACTCTGCACTTGTGCTCCTGATATGACTCTACACTTGTCTCCTGTTATGACTCTGCACTTGTGTTCCTGATATGACTCAGCACTTGTGCTCCTGATATGACTCAGCACTTGTGCTCCTGATATGACTGCACTTGTGCTCCTGATATGACTCTGCACTTGTGCTCCTGATATGACTCTGCACTTGTGCTCCTGAAATGACTCTGCACTTGTGCTCCTGGTATGACTGCACTTGTGCTCCTGTTATAACTCTACACTTGTGCTCCTGATATGACTCTGCACTTGTGCTCCTGATATGACTCTGCACTTGTGCTCCTGATATGACTCTACACTTGTGCTCCTGATATGACTCTACACTTGTGCTCCTGATATGACTCTGCACTTGTGCTCCTGATATGACTCTGCACTTGTGCTCCTGATATGACTCTACACTTGTGCTCCTGATATGACTCTGCACTTGTGCTCCTGATATGACTGCACTTGTGCTCCTGATATGACTGCACTTGTGCTCCTGATATGACTCTACACTTGTGCTCCTGATATGACTCTGCACTTGTGCTCCTGTTATGACTCTGCACTTGTGCTCCTGTTATGACTGCACTTGTGCTCCTGATATGACTCTACACTTGTGCTCCTGATATGACTCTACACTTGTGCTCCTGATATGACTCTACACTTGTGCTCCTGATATGACTCTGCACTTGTGCTCCTGGTATGACTCTGCACTTGTGCCCTGATATGACTCTACACTTGTGCTCCTGATATGACTCTGCACTTTGTGCCCTGATATGACTGCACTTGTGCTCCCTGATATGACTACACTTTTGCTCCTGGTATGACTACACTTTTTGCTCC